TATACTTATATGTAAATATAGACTTGTATATACTTGTATACTTATATGCATTTATATATATATATATATATATATATATATAAAATATATATATATATTATGTATGTGCATGCAAAAAAGAACTCACGACCGTCTTTCTTTTTCTGGTTGTCTCCTTTTTACCTCGCGGGCGCAGCCGCACTTCTGCTGTATCTACAGCTTCACTTTGAAGCACATGTGATTCTTGCTGCCCCATCTTAACAATCAAATATTATATTTAATAACCAGAAGGAGACACACAAAGGAGACATATAAATTCAGCACTTGGTGGCGCTGCTGCTGCTGCTGCTGCTGCGGATGCTGCTGCTGCTGCTGGTACCGCTGCTGCTGTTGCTGTTGCTGGTGATGCTGGTGTTGCCGTTGAAAGAAGGGAGACTTAAAGAAATCTGGCTCGTGCTGCTGCTGCTGCTGCTGCTGCGGATGCTGCTGCTCGTACGGAAGATGACGCATGCACCGATGCTGCTACTGCTGCTCTCTCCGAAGCAGCTCCTTCTGTTTCTAATGCTGCTGCTTCTGCTGCTGCTTCTTTAAGTTGAACCTGATGCTAGTGCCGCTGCTGCTGCGCTGCTGCTGCTGCTGTGTTAGCTGCTGCCGGTGGTAAAGCTGCTGCTGTTAATGTAGGTGCTGCTGCTGCTGCTGTTGCTGTTGCTGCTGATAAGGTTTCGTGTGTGTGATGCAGTAGCTGATAGTAGATGATGTGCCCTGGGGTCAGAGTCCTCAGTGTTTGCTGCCGCCGCAGCAGCAGCAGCAACAGCAACAGCAGCTGAAGCTGCTGCTGCTTCTGCTGCTGCTGCCGCGGCCAGTGTTCCTGTTGCAGTTGTTGATCCTTCTCGTGCTGCGTGAGCAACTGAAGGCGTCTGTGGTCAACTGCTACTGCTGCTGCTGCTGCTGCTGCTGCTCCTGGGTTTGCTGCTTCTGTTGCTTCGGCTGCAGCTGCCTCAGTCTCGCGGGGGCCCTGAACTTTCTTTGCTTTCGCCAGCCCCAATAAAACAAAATATAATTTAAATGACTAAATTAAATTAAATCCAACGAAGGAGAAGCAAGAAAAGCAGCAGCAACAATCAAAGAGCAGAAGAATCGAGGCATTGCTGCTGCACCGACATGCCTAAACCCTAAACCCTAAACCCTAAACCCTAAACCCTGGGCTGTAAACATTAACACCTGTACATGAATGACCTGCAAATGACTTTAAATAGAACTTCCAAGCGAATGTGAGAGCAAAACAAGGCAGATCTTCTTGCATGTACACGTCACAGACGAGGGGCCCCCGTTGCTGCTGCTGCATCTCCTGCTGCTGCTGCTGCTGCTGTTGTTGTTCTGTCTGCGTTGCGTTTCCTCTGCTGCAGCATCTGTCTTTGTTCAACTAAGGACATCCTTAAAGGATAAACAAATCCCGTAATACGGACAAAACAAATACATGCAACGCAGCAACAGCAGCAGCAGCAACAGCAGCAGCAGCAACAGCAGCAGCAGCAGCAGCTCCAGCTGCTGAAGTCCAGCAGCAACAAAAGACAGGCAGGTGTCTAAGGGTTCTTCTTCTTGTACAGGGAAACGACACCACTGAAGAAGCAAAACTCAGAGCAGCAAATACAGCAGCTAGAGTACTTCCTCTTGCTGCCTGTCTCTTCTGTCTCTGCTGCTGCAGGTGTCTCCTCTCAGGTTTTCTCTCTATGGGTCAAAGCACGGCACAAACTGAGGGGGAACCCCCCGCAGCAGCAGCAGCAGCAGCAGCAGCAGCAGCTGAGAAGCTCCCCTTGCTGCTGTTGGTTGTGTCTCCTGCTGCAGCAGCGGAGGTGGCCCCGTGGGGAGGCAACGCGCTGCTGCGTCAGGTAGCGCAGCAGCTGCTGCAGCAACTTGGATCTGTCCCTGTGCAGGAGACAGCAGAAGAGACACTTGAAGCAACAAGAGATGAGGAGACAGTACGCCTCACCTCGTGGCGCTGTTCTATCCGCAACAAATACTACTCAGCCCCTATAAGGGCTGTTATGCTGCAGCTGCCGCTGCAGCAGCAAGAGCAGCAGCAGCAGCAGCCTCAGCCGAAGCAGCCCCAGCTGCAGCAGCTGCATCAGCAGCAGGAGGAGGAGCAGTGTGCAGCAGCAAAGCCTGCGAGTGAGGCGTGCTCTGCTGCAGCAGAAGAGACACCTTTGAGAAAGAAGGAGACACTTGAGGCTGCGGAGACACCTGAGAAGTGCCGCCTTCCTGCTGAAGCAGTTGTGTTTATTTGCAGCAAACAAGAAAGAGATAAGCTGCTCGCAACCAGGCGTCTTGCAGAGGCAGAGGACGAGGACAGACACCCCAACAGCAGCAGACTGCTGCTGCCGCTGCACTGCATGCGCAACTGGCCCGTTGCCAAGCAGCAGCAGCAGCAGCAGCAGCAAGAGCAGCAGGAGATGAGAGAGGGGGAAGAGACAGGGGACACGGATGATTGGTGGGTTCGAGATGTCCCTCTTAAATTCATAGTGTTCATACACTGCAGCACCAGCAGCTACAGCAGCAGCTGGGGCTGCAGCAGATGCAGCAGAGGTTCTGCTGTCTTAGCAGGCAACGGGGAGACTGAAGTTTGGCTGTTCCTGAAGGATGTGTTTATAGAGGGTGTCGAGCTTTGTCTCAACACCAAAGAGGCAGCAGCTGCTTCTTCTGATGCTGCTGCTGCTGCTGCTGCTGTGCCGGAGCGGCAGCAGCAGCGGCTGCGCGCTGTAGCTGAGGCGCTGCAGTGTCACATGTGGCCAGGCCTAACGAAGTGCAGCTCTAATATAACCAGCAGCAGCAGCAACAGCAACAGCAACAACAGTTGCAGCAGCAGCAACGGCAGCAGCAGCAACAGCACCAGCATGAAGAGAGGAGAGCAGCAGTCAGAGCAGCAACAGGGGGTTGACACGTCTGCTGCTGCTTCTACTGCTGGTGCTGCTGCAGGCGTTCGTGAGCGGCCTCGAGAGGGGCCCGCTGTCCCTAAAGCAGCACCAGCAGCAGCAGCATCAGCATCAGCGTCAGCAACAACAACAGCAGCAACAGAAGCAGAGATGGAGGAGTGGGAGTCTCTTGCTGCAGCAATGATGCAGCTGAAGCACAGCGGATCTTCTGTCTCCTCTCAAAGTCGGAGGCATAAGGCTATGTATCTTGCTTCGCAGTTAGCTGCCCTCAGCCGCTGTGATGATGAATAGCTGCTGCTGCTGATGCTGCTGCTGCTTGTGCTGCTGCTGCTGATGCTGCTGGTGTGCTGATGCTGCTGCTGCTGCTGCCAGTTAGCGGCAGCAGAAACAGCAGCAGCAGATACAACAGCAGCAGAAGCAGCAGCAGCAAGAACAGCTGCAGCAGCAACACAAACAACAGGATCCGCAACAAGAGCAGCAGCAGCAGCAGCAGCAGCAGCAGCAGCCTGCTTGGGTATAATAGAGGGTCTTATTGTTTTTTATGTGTCTCCTTCTTTACCCTTTCTCTAATTGCTGCAGAGAGAAGCGCAGCTGAATGCTTCATTTGTCTCTTTTCTAAGGAATACACCGCCTCAACAAACAAACACTGTTAACAAACATTGTTAAGAAAATAACTCTTTTTAAACAAACATTGTTAAGAAAATAACTCTTTTTAAGCAAACATTGTTAAGAACCTAACTCCTTTTAAACAAACAAGCAATATTAATAAACTAACAACTCTTTTCAAGCAAACAAACATTGTTAAGAAAACAACAACTCATTTTAAACAGACAAACGTTGTTAATAAAGCATCTCCCCTTAAACAAACAAACATTGTCAAGAAAATAACTCACCTGAAGCAAACAAACATTGTTATTAGAATAACAACTCATTTAGAGAAACAAACATTGCTAAGAAATTAACTCAAAGCATACTTAAACTGCTGCTAACAAATGACCCCTCTTGCTTCCTCTCTTGGATGTTTTTGTGTAAAGATACATATATATACTCATCAATATAAATGTATAAATATATGTATATATATATATGTATATATATATATACATATATATATATATATTATATGTATTATGCATGTATATATATTGGATCTATATAGCTGTTTAAACTCATCCAGATACTTGCATATATATATGCATAAATATTAATACGCATATAATATACGCCTATATATATATATATATATATATATATATATATATATATACTGTGCGTGTGTGGATATGAGTACACTCATGGATGTAATATATATATATTCACTACAGTTAAATATTAACTATTAAATTTGATATATATATATATATATATATATATATATTTATACACATATGTATACACATATACATATACATATACATATACATATACATATACATATACATATACATATACATATACATATATATATATATATATGTAGATGCATATATATTATATTTTGTTATAAGTGCGTAAAAGTTAGTTAAGTTGTTGCCTAATACCTCCTTCATTGCCTCATACACCAGCGCTTAATAGACATTGAATAAACAGCAACAAATAAAATATTGTTAATCTTTGCTGTTTACTATCTCTAATTAAAAAGAAATATACTCAGCATCTGTAAACGGGTGTACTACCACCTACAAGGGGCCCCCTTTACGCGGGGGCCCCAGGGGGGCCCCCAGGGGCCCCTCTTCTGGGGGCCCCTGGGGGCCCCACAGTGCTATCCTCAGTGGAGTAAGTATTAGGGGCCCCCATTGAGTTAGAGTGTTTTTGTTTGTTTTCTTTGTTATGTTTTTAAAGGTTAATGAAGACGAAGGAGAGTTATTGAGGCCTCTCTGTCTGTCTGTGTATATATACTTTTTGTCTCTGCTGTCTTTTCGTGTTGTTAATGTTGTCTCCGATGCTACGCTTCACCCTCTACTACTGATATGGGGGCCCCTCTCCGCTGCATCCTTCGAGGCTGCCGCTGCACGCGGGGGCCCCCCGCCTACAACTCAGCAGCTGGGGGGGGGCCCCGGGGGCCCCCTACTGCCTCCTCTTGGTCTTGCGCCGTCATACCCAAGACAGCACCCAATGCTGCAGCAACAACTCCAGCATCAGCTTCAACGACAGCAGCAACTACTGCCGGAGCAGCAACTGCAGCAGCAGCAGCAAGACCAGGTGCAGCAGCAGCAGCAGCAGCACCAACAAGGCGGTCCCAGCTGCGCTTTTGCTGCTCTCAAGTTTCTTATTCTACCTACACCAACCCCACCCATGCAACACAATCGGGTTGTGGGCTCGCAGTGCCTTCTGCTGCTGCTGCAACTCCTGCAGCAGCCGCTGCTGCAACTCCTGCAGCAGCCGCTGCTGCAACTCCTGCAGCAGCCGCTGCTGCTGCAGCAAAGGCAGCAGCAGTAGTAGCAACTGCAGCAGAGGAGGAAGCGGCAGCAGCAAAGGCTGTAGCAGCAGCCGGCGTACTAACGGAACCATCGGCAGCAAGGTCACCCCCATTATCCGCAGCAGCAACAGCAGCAGTAGCAGCAGCAGCAGCAGCAGCAGCAGCAACGCAGGCAGCAAACGAGGCAGCAACGCTCGACGGGCCAGCGCTTCCCTTATCAGCCGTTGGAGCAAGTGGTGCAGCAGAAGCAACGGCAGCAGCCTTAGCAGCAGAAGCAGCAGCAGCAGCGGCAGAAGCGGCAGCAGCAGCAACAGCAGCAGAGGCAACAGCGCGGCAGCTGTCAGCTCTGTGGGGCTTCCCCCCTAAGCCCCCCCATATACCGCAGAGTGTATGGACAGGTCTGCTGCGGGGGCTGCACCTGACCCCTTCGAATCCCGTAGGCATTGCTGCTGCTCTGCTGCGGCACTTCTTTCAGCAGCAGCAGCAGCTGCTGCTGCAGCAGCACGCCTACTTCAGCCCCCACTACCCACCCGCTTATCATACGGAGCTGAAGCAACAGCAGCAGCAACAACAACAGCAGCAACAGCCGCAGCAAGGGCTACAGCGACAGCAGCAGCACGTGCACCAACGCAAGCACCAGCAACCGCAGCAGCAGCAGCAGCAGCAACAGCAGCAGCAGCAGCAGCGGGGGGGGTTCGTGTATTTGGACAGGCTGAGCCCCATTGTGTCTATACAGGAAAACTTTGATAGTCTCCTCATTCCCTCTTCTCATTGCAGCCGCAGCACCAGCGACACTTTTTATCTAAGCCCCAACTTCACCCTCTCTCATCAGCAACTCGCAGCACTGCAACAGCGGCAGCAATGCAGCAGCAGCAGCCGCAGCAGCAGCAGCAACGACAGCAGCAACAGCAGCTCCGCAAACAGCAGCAGCACAAGCAGCCCCGACAGCAACTGCAGCAGCAGCAGCCCCTACAACCCCAACAGCAACAGCAACAACAACAACAACAACAACAACAACAACAACAGCAGCAGCAGCAGCAGCAGCAGGCAGCTGCTGCTGCGTACGCATGGGACTGCTCACCAAGCGCGTTTGCTGAGCCTTGGGGTGCAGCAGGCGTTGTGGTGTGGGGCTGTAGCTCGAAGAGACAGATCAGACAAGACTCACTTCCCTGTCTTTCACCAAGGAGACAGTATTTGCATCTTCGCCCCGGGGCCCTCCTCCTCCTGCTGCGGAAAGGAGACACCTCAGCAGCAGCACGAACAGCAAAACGAAAGCAACCAAACGCACTCCCTCTCTCTACGCCTCCTGCAGACGCAACACCAAGCTGTTCTTAAAGCCGTAGCGATCGCCAAACAAATCCAGCAAGAGCAGCAACAGCAGCAGCAGCAGCAGCAGCAGCAGGTGCAGCAGCAGCAGGATTTGCATGCGTCTCTGGATAAGGCTGCGCGTGCAGCGGGTTTGTGCGTAAGAGATATTTTTTGTCTTTGTTCGTTTGTCTGCTTCAATGATAAAAACCCCCACCGCAACAATGCCGTCGTGCTGCAGCTGCAAGTCACTCTAGAAAAACTAATTCGCTTCTTGTGGGCCCACAAAACCCAAACAGAACCTCACCCTCAAAGTAGCAGCAGCAGCAGCAGCAGCAGCAGCAGCAGCAGCGATGTTGAGTTGCGGTGGGTGTACGATGCTGAGTTTCCTTTTACTCATCCCTCTTTGGAGCTCGAAGTTTTGCATGACGGACAATGGCTAGAAGTGTTGGGTGCAGGCGAAATAAAGCCCCAAATCATTGCTGCTGCATGCGCCGAGCAACAGCAGCAGCAGCAGCAGCAGCAACAGCAGCAGAAGCAGCCGAGGGGTATGGCAAGGCAGCAGGATGTAGCGCAGTGGCAGCAGCAAGAGGAGGAGCAGCAGAAGCAGCGGATGGTGCTGCAGCAACTGCCTGCAGGATTTGTGGGGAGTGCGTTGCATGCAGAAAGTAGGGGCTGGGCATGCGGTTTGGGGCTTGAAAGACTGTGCATGCTGCTGTTCTCTCTAAAAGATATTCGTCTCCTTTGGTCTCAGGATCTGCGCTTTACGCAGCAATTCACTCAGGGTAAAGTTTGTCCTTTCGTGCCCTTTTCAAATATGCCGCCTGTTTATAAAGACATTTCTTTCTGGCTTCTGACTCAAAACCCCCGCAGCAGCAGCAGCAGCAGCAGCAACAGCAGCAACAGCAGCAGCAGCAGCAGAGACAGCAGCAACAGCAGCAGCAACAGGAGCAGCAACAGCAACTCTGGATTGAAGGAGTTTGATTTGAATTCATTTAAAGAGTTGTGTAGGGATGTGGGGGGCAATTTAATCGAAAGTGTGCAGCTTCAAGACAGCTTTATACACCCCGTCTCAATGCAAAAAAGCCTTTGTCTCCGCATCACTTATAAGGCCCCAGACCGCACCCTCACACACACTGAAGTAAATGCGCTCCAGGAGAAACTCTGCGCGCTGCTGCAGCAAACTTTTAACGTGCAGCTGAGGTAGCAACCAAGTGTACATACACCCCAACAACCAAACAATACCCCCCAAAATACCCGCATAAACACGCCCCTCAAACAGTGTACAGACACTTCAATACGACCCCCTCTTCATTGCTTCTCTCATACAAACGCGCATTATGCGGGGGGTTGGGAGTGGCCGGACTGAGGTTTTGCTGGGCTATGCGAGTTATATATATATATATATATA